ATAATCATTGTCTGGCCGTCCTACTGTTACATCCTACTATAATCATTGTCTGGCCGTCCTACTGTTACATCCTACTATAATCATTGTCTGGCATTCCTACTGTTACATCCTTCTATAAGCATTGTCTGGCCGTCCTACTGTTACATTCTACTATAATCATTGTCTGGCCATCCTACTGTTACATCCTTCTATAATCATTGTCTGGCCGTCCTACTGTTACATCATACTATAATTATTGTCTGGCCGTCCTACTGTTACATCCTACTATAATCATTGTCTGGCCGTCCTATTGTTACATCATACTATAATTATTGTCTAGCCGTCCTACTGTTACATGCTACTATAATTATTGTCTAGCCGTCCTACTGTTACATGCTACTATAATCATGGTCTGGCCATGCTACTGTTACATCCTACTACAATCATTGTCTGGCCATCCTACTATAATCATTGTCTGGCCGTCCTACTGTTACATTCAACTATAATCATGGTCTGGCCATGCTACTGTTACATCCTACTATAATCATTGTCTGGCCGTCATACTGTTACATCCTACTATAATCATTGTCTGGCCGTCCTACTGTTACATCCTACTATAATCATGGTCTGGCCGTCCTACTGTTACATCCTCCTATAATCATTGACTGGCCGTCCTACTGTTACATCCTACTATAATCATTGTCTGGCCGTCCTACTGTTACATCCTACTATAATCACTGTCTGGCCTTCCTACTGTTACATCCTACTATAATCATAGTCTGGCCGTCCTACTGTTACATCCTACTATATTCATTGTCTGGCCTTCCTACTGTTACATCCTACTATAATCATAGTCTGGCCGTCCTACTGTTACATCCTACTATATTCATTGTCTGGCCGTCCTACTGTTACATCCTACTATATTCATTGTCTGGCCTTCATACTGTTACATCCTACTATAATCATTGTCTGGCCGTCCTACTGTTACATCCTACTATAATCATTGTCTGGCCATGCTACTGTTACATCCTACTATAATCATTGTCTGGCCGTCCTACTGTTACATCCTACTATAATCATTGTCTGGCCATGCTACTGTTACATCCTACTATAATCATAGTTTGATTCGCTTTCGCTGTGTTGATACCAAATCATTAACCAAATTCCCTAAAGATACCTGTTCACCTTAACTCTGACGGTCAGCTTACCACTCACCACTTCTCATTGTCCATGTTTCAGCTGGGAGTTATATAATTGTAGCTTGGGTTTTTGACTTGGTTAAACACAAAGTGCTCAGTACCCAGGTCCGGAGTGTAAGGAAAGGACAAGCCATTCGGCACATTGGAACTGAATATGCCACGTTGGCATTTCATATGATGGATTTATTTGTGCTATTATTCTGAGGATCTAGTTGGAACATGAACGATTTTACCACAAAGTACGAGTTTTAACCATTTACACTGATACTTGCTTTTCATATCTATACATGTATATGTTACAGCAGAGACCATATAATAGGTTATTATATGGTCTCTGGTTACAGGGAATGTGTAAAACCAGGGATTTCACGTAATCCCTAAAAGAGTCAGTGATTTCATGAAATCCCTGTGACCCCCTGGGATTTCATGAAATTACTGATTTTCATGGTGTTCCATTACACACATTCCCTGTTAGGATATCAGTTGTATGTTCTAGAGTGCACAAACTCAGTTTCTTGTTATAATTTCTTTATTCTTGTGATTTTCTTTCTTTCTTATTGTATTCCTTCTTCATTCTTAACCTTGCATCCTTACAGTTCAGTTTCATTTTCACTGTTTCAGATTCAGATTGACTGAAAAAACATAACAAAATTCTTAATTACTAACATGAGCAATAATAGTAACTTATAGTATATCATATACAAAAAAAACAAAACATTTTTATCCAGTCACCTGTGAGAACATAGCCTGAAACAGCCTTAGACAATAATGAATGATAATGCCTACAACTGTCTTATGCAATTAGGAAAAAGAACATAATTGCCTTATGCAATGAAATATTGTAAATAAAATATCAATGGCCTTATGCCAAAGCTATTTGGAAATATGTCTTAAACTTATAAACAAAGAAAAGCCCAAAATAAAATGTATTTCTTAGAAAATAAATCGATGCAAATATTTAGGGCATTTACGGTAGTTCTTAAAAAAGGCAAAACAAAGTTTCCTTCACTGAAAATATTCACACCAAATATAACTAGCACTACCACTTTAAATAAACCAAGCAGGTGAAATTACACAAACATAATTTGTAAGTTTGCGGTAATTGCCTATAAATTGTTATGAAAAATTGAATAAACAATGCTAACACATATCCAGTTCAAATACAAAATGAAAGCTAGAATGAATGAAGTTTACTTCTAACTTTCCCTACTTTTATGAAAGATTACTTTAACAAAGAAAACACATTACATTGATGATAAAATAGTTACCGTTTGTTTGCGGTGGCATTTTCAACTTGTCTCAACGAAACTTGTCGTGCTAATGACCATGTGCGCTGCCAGATTTGAAAAGTCCGTGCTCAAGGCAGGTTACTGCAAACTCAAAGGTTAAAATGCATACCGCTAAAGAAAAAAGCACTAACACAGCTGTTAATGTAAAAGTAATGTGATGTTGGCCGTTACATCAGTGAATGTGTGAAATTAATGTTTGTAGCTTAAAACTTTACTGTTGAGTCTCATTTCATCCCTTAGTTCTTAGGAGTTGAAAACTTTGACAATTTACCAAGGACACTTTTGGCTAATTACTACCTTGAGTCGGGGTACCAAGTTAATTTTCTCACGGCTATATTGTTTAGTCTCATTTCATCCCTTAGGTCTTAGGAGTTGACTTAGGAGTCTTAGGACTATTTACTGATCACACTAAGTCAAGCTAAGAGAGGGAAATCACCGGGTTTCGATAATATTCCAGTTGATGTTTTGACAAATGACATCTGTATAGATTATCTTCATAAACTGTTTTCTACATGTTATGAGACTGGTCATGTACCCTCCAACTCGGCCCAGGGGATCATTACCCCTACCCCTAAGTCTGGAGCGGACAACCCGAGAGACCCAAAGTCTTATCGTGGCATCACACGAGTGCACGTGCTTCTCGAACACCTGGCTGTCCCTTTCTCTGCACTCCTCCCTCATAACAAATAGTGAACTGTGTCAATATTTTAATGATAGATTGTTAAACAACTTTTTTAGGTTCAAGGACAAAAATTCTGCAAAAACCTCACAGAGTGGGTATGATGTTTTGATTATGATCAGCGTTTCATTGAGTATGTTATGTTTATTAGTTTTTGAGTTAGATTGCAATTCATCGGTCCACTTTTGAGCCAAACGGACTATGTACTGCGTGACCATGACTAGGCACTTAACTTGGGGTAATATGGCATTTCATCTTCTTCCTGCTAAAATACTTTCAGAATGAATATAATTCTAAAGGACGTGGAGTACTCCAATTTTAGCATTGTATACTTCCTTTCAAAAGCTTTGACTCACTAGTGTAAATATAGCCACTTATTTCAGTCAACTGTTCTAAACTACATTTTGCAAAAATATTCCATACTGTTTAAAAGGTACTGTTTACACATGAATTAATATATTATACAACAAATTCGTAATGTTAAAAAGATTATTGTCTTGAGTTCAATAAATGATAAAAATCAGTGAAAATTGGTGAATTCTTAACAAAACTTTACACCGAAACGCAGTTGTTCACATGCACGATATTTGCACATGCTTTTCAGCAATATGATGCATGATCCTCGTGCAACACATCTGCATACGGTTTGCAGTTGGTTCCCCCAAGTTAGTGGAGAAATCAATCTTCGATGTAACCATATATATACATAACATTTAGGGAGTGTTTTAAGTGAGTCTAAGCTTTTGAAAGGAAGTACGTATGAGCTCAGTTTGGTGAATTTGGACAATAAATACACCACCCTTTCTCTCTGTGTGTTTTTCTTGGTTTACACCAGTCAGCATTATTCCAGGAATGATACGACGGCCTGTAAGTAATCATCTCCAGGTCAGCAAGCCACAGTGAGCGATCCAGCAATGATCCACGCAGTTAGGATACGAAGACACCAAACAGTTAGGCAACTGAGTTGGGACAAACGACTTATCTAGATAGCCATTAACAAAGGGCAACTGCGTGAGTTTTCCGTGGAATATCTATGGGGATTATCATTAAATACATTATGTTACTGACGGAAACTGGACAGTCCGAACCCACGGAGATTTGTACCCAACTTTTGGGGTGGACTCGTACCCCAATGTTGGACAAAACGTATCCACTCACACTCATATGGGCACACGTTTAGACTAGTGTAGAGGCATGCATAAAAACATGGTCCATAATCTAATATAGACATAATATGTCACTTGCAAAATACCACAGCACATTTGTCATTTTATTTTTCAAAGGATTAATCAATTTATGGCCTTTATTAGCTGAATAGGCTATGAGTTAGGATGTCAGTTTGTCATACAACCGTGGTAACTTCTAAAACTGAATTTCAAACCTATCTTGATTGTCACTTCGGCAAGAGTGATTTTGATGTTTTGAGGAATTGTTCTATTTGATTCAGAATATGATACTTTAAATCATAAATACCACAAGTTAATTCAGTCTAAACAATCTTGAGTAGAAGCTCTAACAAATCTTTTACTGATACCACAGCCTCCCTGTGCATACCTCTTGTGCACGCCTCCTTATTAATAATAATAATAATAGGCCATATATAGCGCCTTTCCACGTCACAGGGATATGCTCAAAGCGCTTCCCTGTTACTAGCACCCTGTCCATTGTTCCTGGTCTGTTTCGAGAGGGTTTAGCAACTGGCATATGCAGGAACATGTTAGCAGAGACATAGGAAACAGTTGAAACCAATTTTACTAGGCATGCAGCTTCTTAATAAGAAATTGAACAGCATTTAGTAAACCAGATTCAAATGCATAATATATAGGACAGAAACAGAAAAGCTAACACAGTAAATCATGTGAAGTGTTTAATTACTTGCTCCTGAGTGTGTTCCATCACAGACATTGCCTGTGATCACCGTGGCCAGCAGGCCCAAGTAACAAACTGATCAAGGATAACAGTTGAGAAAATCTGTTTGACATCAAGTTTATACATGAGATTGAGAATATTGGTTTACAGACAGTGGTAGCATAAAGAAAAGTGGCTGACCTGGTATTCTCTCGATCAGCAGGTAAACACTATCTGTATCATGAGCTTTGGCCAATAAACTCAACTTGTACTGAATCAGTGAATCACTAATCATTAAATACTCACATCCAGATGAATAGTATTTATATTGAGTTTTTACAACACTTAATGACATATTTCAATCTTTTAGCTACATCCTACTGTTGCCCTTTGAAGGTAAGAGATGGTCATGTCTAGGATGGACCTCTTGCATCTGACACCTCTGTTGGCACCTCCACTTCCAGCCCATCCATATCCTTTGACACAAGTATTTGACACCCAAGTCGAGATCTGCAACACAATGAAAGTAAGGCTGTGAGCATTGGAGGTTGCAACTAGGAGTATTAGCTACTCTAGTCCACTGTATATGGAATAAATTTCATAAATGCAAAATGTGCACTATAGTTATTCTGAACTGATTTTTGTTGTTGTTGTTGTCGTTAAACATGGAGAAGGCTGTAGTACCCACGGATGCCATGGAGCTTGAATGGGAATGAAAGAACTCTGATACCTGCACTAAAGGTCTCAGGTGTGCTGTTCCTCTCTTTGACCCTCTCTCTTACAAATTACCAACAACCATCATAATGAGGCAGGCCATACATTATTACGGTGGATGGAGGCAACGTGAAGGGAAGTAACTCTAAGTTTGTTTTCCGATACAAGGAAGTGGGCCCACATTCGAAAATAAAGCAACTATGTATTATTAAACAAGTATAATCAGGTATTGCTAAGGTAATAAATTCAAAACATAATGTATTTCTGGAAATAAGCGACTGATGGAAATGTTTTAAGATGAAAACACAATCGAAAACACAATCAAAAGTCAGGGTTGAAACCCTGCGAAAATGTCAGATACGGACCTCATGAATATTAATGAGACAAGCCCCCATTGTGTCATTGGAGAAGCTGTGAGCCAGGCGACGTTCTATTGACCCAAATAATCGACCTTTGTGGGTCAGGTCAAAGGTAAGTCTAGTTTGCATAGCTACTGTACCCATAGATTTTTACTACGAAGTTACCACTCAAATTGAAGTTGAAAATAATGGGAAATGGAAGAATTCCGGGAGTGTACCATTCCTTTAGAGTGGCATACAATTCCATTTCCTTCAACTTGCATACAGACACACTTAATAAACTGAACCTGATGAAGTGTGTAATTGGTACAACGTGTTATTGTTGAAGAACAAATTATAGTTTCATTTCCCTCAGCATGATTTAAGTGATAAGCCTGCATATGGATACACTTAATAAAATCAACCTGATGATCTGTCTAAGGAATTCAACAAGTGCAAATACATTCTTGGTCATTGTGGGGAAATTAAAGTTGTTTTAGTTGAATTTCATGCAGTTTCCGTTATATTATAAAAACAAAAGGGCATTTACAGAATACCATGATTAAAAAAAGCAAGTTTCTAAAATGTGGGCCCACTTTCATTCGTAACTACTCGCCTCTTTCTATGACCTACAAGAAGACTCGTACCCCTATCGTACGCCATTATTGCCAAGAATCGTGGCAAACCAATCAAATCGTGTGTAGTAAAACGCATTTAGAAGCATGAAAATGGCAGCACAGTTGAAGTTTGAAACTTCGCTAAACTATGCAAAGCACAATTTAACATAAACTTTGAGCTAAAGGATCAGAAACTTTAAACACTGAAACATATTTACAGAGGAAATGACTGAATTGCTGTTTTGCCCACGGGATAAAGATATTCTTGGAGTCATGTTTGAAAATTCAGAGTTATCTTTCATGGTATGGTACTAGACTATTTTCATCTCTATGCCTGTTTGCGCTTAGACAGGGCCCAGTCGTAAACATGGCCATGAGAGGGGTACGAGACGCCATCCGACCTGCCGGAATGACACGAGTAGTTAGGAATGGGCCCACTGTCTGTTCTTTGTTACACTGGACCATAATAAATGGGCCCACATTTTCAATGACACTAGTTATTCAGAATACTATGTATGATAAAAGAAAATACAAATAAAATTATGAGTTTCTAATATGTGGGCGCACTTATTTTCGGCTCCTATAACAGGTGCTGAAGTGGGCCCACATTTTGGAATGTCATTATTGCCACTGTATACAAGTGGTTCACACGTGATGGAAATAATGATGCTACAAAATACTTCCCGATATATAAACTTTTACAATGTCTCATGTCACAGGTATTACTTCGTTCGGTAAGTTCAAACATATCGTGTTGGCACAAGTGGAGCCAAAACAGCAGAGGATGGATGAGGTTGGTGTGTGTGCAGCATGGAGGAGTTTGGTGTGTGCAGCATGGAGGAGTTTGGTGTGTGCAGCATGGAGAAGTTTGGTGTGTGTGCAGTATGGATGAGTTTTGTGTGTGTAAAGTATGGACGAGTTTGGTGTCTGTGCAGCATGGAGGAATTTGGTGTGTGTGCAGCATGGAGGAGTATGGTGTGTGTGCAGCATGGAGGAGTATGGTGTGTGTGCAGCATGTATGAGTTTGGTGTGTGTAAAGTATGGACGAGTTTGGTGTGTGTGCAGCATGGAGGAATTTGGTGTGTGTGCAGCATGGAGGAGTTTGGTGTGTGTGCAGCATGGATGAGTATGGTGTGTGTAAAGTATGGATGAGTATGGTGTGTGTAAAGTATGGATGAGTTTGGTGTGTGTGCAGCATGGAGGAGTTGAGTTTGGTGTGTGTGCAGCATGGAGGAATTTGGTGTGTGTAAAGTATGGAGGAGTATGGTGTGTGTGCAGCATGGAGGAGTTTGGTGTGTGCAGCATGGAGGAGTTTGGTGTGTGTGCAGCATGGAGGAGTTTGGTGAGTGTGCAGCATGGAGGAGTTTGGTGTGTGTGCAGCATGTATGAGTTTGGTGTGTGTAAAGTATGGAGGAGTATGGTGTCTTTGTCTTTGTACAGTGATGCATTGAACTGGAAGGAAGATAGTGCTGAGAATTGGTAGGTATGTTGGTTTTGTGCTGAAGGGTCTTCATAGTATCCTGGCAGGAGGCGAGAGTCATAAAGATTTGTCTCTGCCACTCACGTGTCAGACAAGCCATAAGCCAAGTCTAGCATATCAAGCTCCTCATCGGTGGGTTTCTCGGGCAGCTTGTCATAATCTGCTTTCTTAAAGATGAGGTGACAGGTGGAGCACGCCAGGGTTCCCTCACAAGCACCTGCAACACAACAGCACCTGCATGATGACAGCTAAAACTTGCAGAGCTGCCAGCCTATCAGGACTTGTCATATAAATAAGACTCATTTCCAACATCACTGGTTCATTGTTAAATCAAGATCAAATGTAATTTTAATAAGATAATAACACATTTGATTCATACCAATGGCGAGTTGACAACCATGATATTGAAAGGGTTAACATGCCTCATGTAAGATACAAGAAAATGGCCTTACAAGTTATTATGAGATGAGCAAATGAAATTACAAATCAAACCTTAACAAATAAGACCTACATTGCTACTTAGATTAAGACAAATGAACTGCAAAAGCCACTAACCAAAGCCATCAATGTCAATATCATTCTCTATAATAACATCCAAGAGATTGTCACCAACTTTAGCCTTGGTTTGGATGCGATTCCCTTCTCTCCCAATGAAGTTTATGGTAACTCTGGAATGATAAGATGATTGGAATAAACCACAGATAGACATTTTGCTCTACCTTCAAGCTCTACTTCATTTTCTATTGCAACAAGTAACAGTGGCCTGCATGCCACCACTCCAGCAACATGGATCCATCCTGCCACTTCCCCTGTCTAGAAAACATACAGTCAATCTGAAACAGACAAACACTACAGTTTTCACACAACTCTTACCAATTTAGAAACCAAAACAACATTCTTTGTTTTCAAATAAACTCACAAAATCATTAAACTTGTTTGCTCAGAGAAGGTACCACATAAGGGGTAAGTGCTGTACATGACAAATAAGAAGTTGATAGGCAGCACCTACCATTTTCCCTCACCCAAGCACATGAAGCATGATTAGAGGTAATTCTAAGCCCTTTCAGTTAATATTTAAACTAAATGGAACTAGTATCATGCACTGAAGAGCTTCTGGACCATAAAAGTAATTATATATAACACTCAATAAAAGGCTTCGCATTTTCATCTGTACTTTTGATATCATGTTTGTATAATAGCACCAGGTTTAAAATTAGGTGCAATAGACCGTTCCAGTCTGTCAATCAAAACTGGCGCATGGCGTCAACTTTGGCTAATCAGCAGGCCGGGCGCACTTTGTGGATTTGTCAGACTTATTTCGTAGGTCAAACGATGCCTTAGAAGCGATTTGCTTCCAGTTATGCTATTCACACTCGCTATGTCTATTACATATTGCTGGTATTTGATGTGTACCCTTAACACAACCATTACGATCAAGACAAAAGATTTGAGGTGGATCAAGGAGTGCGATAGGTCTCACGATCAGTTAAATGTCGGCACCATCGTTCACGAACCTACGTCTGCTCGAAGGTGCACGAATTTCCACACTTTCGCACATGTGCAAAATCATTACCAATAGATGACAACAAATAATAGTTTACAACTTTGCAAGTGTTATAAACACGGACAATACTTGTAACTACAAATTGTTTTTGCTTAACGTTTTTTATCAATACTGGGCATTGAGTTGGTACACCATAAAGCTGAAATGAGACAGGCGAGAAAGCCGTGACACAATGTAAACAAGAAGACAAAGTCATCAATATCCCCTGCAATGCCAAATACTCTTTATGGATATGTCTACCAGTTATGATTATGCCAAATGTTTTGGAGTGTATATAGCAAAGTGGAAGGAGAGTATTGAAAGGTTTTTAAGATCTGCTCCAGAGAGGAGCACTACCATCAAATTCAGTTGAAGCCTAACTTGTTGCCATGGAAATGCAACAAGATAGTCACAGCCTAAGTCATGTTTCCATGGAAACCACAAAAAAATAAAATTCATATCTGGTTCTAACCCCCAAAAGGCACATCTAGGGATCATGGTTGACATGTGTACCAACTTTGGTTAACCTATCACAAATAGTTTAGGAGATATGATTCTGACAATGTGTGACGGATGCACGGAACTCGTTTCTATATCCCCCGCAACAACTTCGTAGTTGCGGGGGATAACAAATCTGACAGTGATCTGATTTCGGTTAGGGTCGACCGAAATAGCAAAACTTAATTCTTACATTAAAGAACAATGTGGTTGATATTGTTGCCTTCGCCCTTAGATATTCCTAAATTCACACATTTTAGGATGTTTTACAGTTTCAAAAGCACAATCTGAAGGCCTATACTGCAGTACAGCAATACGTATCTGTTAATAGTGCAAAATATTCGAGGAGTAATGGTTTTTTTTATTCAAACGGAAATATAGTCAGTGTCAGCAGCTGCCTATCACGCAATATCCAAATATCAAAATTAATTCATATGAATGTCTATAAAACCATGCCTTAAATATTTCAGAATTTAATAATATAATATATTTACAGATAAGATTATTTGGAAAGTGATTACTAGTATCATAACTCATAATAAAGTTATTTCAACATCCAGAGAATTTGAAAAAAGCTACAAAGGCTACATTTTGGTCACACACTGGTCAGGCATTATTCAGTCTTGGAACAGAATAACTTACAAAATTCTCAGTTGACTTTTCATGTAACTGGAATGAATAATGAAACATATATTTAACCCAGACATGATGTAAATCTTCTTAGAAATCATCAGCTTTTGAGGAGGTTACCAATATTTGAAGACTGAGCCAAAGTAGTGTTTATTAAGATGTTTGGTTTTTTTGGACAAATTGTTCCAGGTTTGTTGATGGTTATTTGGAAAATGAGCTTCATATTAAATTGCACACTGGTTTGCAGGAGGTGAAAGCTTCAGGACATTTTCATGTGTGTTTTCCTAAACTTTTGTTATGACTTTTACCAAATTTTGAAACGACATTAATACATTGTATATTTTTGATGACACTAGTAAGTATCTGAGAAAAGGAAATTGATCAAAATTAGTGTTTTGTCCCTTAGGGATATGGTCTCAGAGCTAATAAAACAAATGTTATCATTGTTTAAGAAGCAATAATGTCAAGATGTAATTTTATTGACAAAAAGCTTTGAACATAGGATATATTCTTTGTACCTTACTTACATTAGTAGTTAGTAGTGGTGGTCCAATTAATTGAAATAATCGAAGATTGGTCGCAATGACTAAACGACCAAGCAATCGATCACATTTTGTCATAATCGAACACAAACAATTTTGTAACACTTGTTTGCATTAAAAATATGTATCACAAGGTTGGTTTTGAATGTTATGTTTCATAAGCACTACAAGCTCGTTTCAAGTCGTGATTAAATTCATCTTGAAGACTCCAGGAATTTATGTTCCTAACATACTAGTCATCCTTTAAAAACGTGAAATTTGCAAATAAAAACCCGAAAGAACTGCATGGTTTTTTCATTATTTTTTGTGCATTAACAAACATAACCAGGACAATTTGATAAATGACGCTAACCAACTATTTTCGATGATTGATCGGTTGTAATGGACCAATCATCAATTATGAGATTTTAACCAATTCCCAACACTAGTAGTTATCTTCTTTGTGTTCTGGTGCTGTGACATACCTGTACATAAATGCTGGCAGTTCATGAAGTCCAGTACTGTGAAAGTGTGTAAATTAGGATTCCACAACAAAGTACACATAGAAAAATAAATAGGAAAGGGTGATTTAAAAAATGGATTTCTTTATATTCAGTGTCATTTTAGGATGGTGTACAGATTTTGTAGATGGGAAATTTTACTGAGAATTGCTGCAAATTAGCTGCTGAATATTTGCTTCTGGGTATGTCCAGATACATCCATGGAAACATACTGTTTACAAGCCCAATAACCTTTCCCAGATTCCCAAATAAGATCAAATGGTTATGCTGTGATTGATTTGTTTACATTAATATATACAGACAAATAAGGTGCACGAAGTAGTAGACGGGACTTTTTTTTTTCTGCTTTGTTCATTAAAAGGAGTTTTCACATTATTGATTTAACTATTTTTGAACAACGGATAAATAAATACAGGCGGCCATGCGCAGTGTAAACAATCTATTTATAAATACCGACACAATCTGCAACTGGAATGTGGTTGTGTTCATGTTTTTTATAAAATTACGATGGGAATATTTTAGAGAAAAAAAACAACACACAACATAATTCAGTTAATATCTTAGACAGATGTGAATTGCCAGATACATTATTTGGTTCGAAAGAAAATACTCTTCCCACTCTCGGATCAGCAGCTGGCCGAGACGATTTTACATCGGGCATGTAACTTATTTTCACTCGCCAATTGCAATCTGTCAACTGAAATATATTATAAATAAAATACGTATAACTTTACGTATCATTCACAAACGACGGATAACGAAGTACCACAAGCAGAATTCATCAACAACTTTTGCAATCACGTACGTTTTGCTGGCGGTGACGCCATTGTGATTAGTAAGTGGTTGTCTCCCTTAATGTGAAAAACGAAGTGGGCGGGGCTTATCGGCCGGGGCTTATCAGCATGAAATTTAAATCATCCATACTAAAGGTCAAATGATACAGCAGGGTCATGATACAATATGCAGGGATTGGGAAAGGCAGGGGCCATGGGCCATTTTGCACATTAGAATAAAAAATGGCCCATTAGAATTTTTAAGTTTACTATTGATAAAGGGGCAATGTCCCATTCTAAATTCAGAAAATGGCTAATAATCCTGAAAATGGCCCATTGTCAAAGTTCTCTATCCCGATCCCTGAATATGTCTGACTGACTGACTGAGTTTAGTTTTACGCCGCTTTTAGCAATATTCCAGCAATATCACGGCGGGGGACACCAGAAATGGACTTAACACATTGTGCCCATGTGGGGAATCGAACCCGGGTCTTCGGCGTGACGAGCCAACGCTTTAACCACTAGGCTACCCCACTGCCCCCCCTGAATATGTAAGATGATACGTAAGTCATTATACGATGTGTAGCACTATTTGTATACTAAGAGCAAAGTTTTTATTTGTAAATATTTCTAAGGTACAAGAACAACAACTAGCTGTATCAGGTTGAAAAGGTAATCCTAGCTGTATCAGGTTGAAAAGGTAATGCTAGCTGTATCAGGTTGAAAAGGTAATGCTAGCTGTATCAGGTTGAAAAGGTAATGCTAGCTGTATCAGGTTGAAAAGGTAATGCTAGCTGTATCAGGTTGAAAAGGTAATGCTAGCTGTATCAGGTTGAAAAGGTAATGCTAGCTGTATCAGGTTAAAAGGTAATGCTAGCTGTAGCAGGTTGAAAAGGTAATGCTAGCTGTATCAGGTTGAAAAGGTAATGCTAGCTGTAGCAGGTTGAAAAGGTAATGCTAGCTGTATCAGGTTCAAAAGGTAATGCTAGCTGTAGCAGGTTGAAAAGGTAATGCTAGCTGTAGCAGGTTGAAAAGGTAATATTAGCTGTATCAGGTTGAAAAGGAAATGCATGCTGTAGCAGGTTGAAAAGAAAATATTAGCTGTAGAAGGTTCAAAAGGAAATACTAGCTGTAGAAGGTTCAAAAGAAAATATTAGCTGTAGCAGGTTCAAAAGGAAATAC